TATTACGATGTCTGAAAATCTACAAAAATACTAGAAAGAAAAAAAATTATCGATGTGGTACAGAAACTGCCAGCTCAATTGAAAAAATAAAAGCTAATGCTGAAGATTCAGGAAATATGAAAGCTAACACACCAAGTAACTTATTTACTTAGCAATAAAATCTTGAGGCAAAAAAACAAACCGCATTGCTTAAAATAAAATAGAACCATCTTAAAGTATAATTTTAATTATTTTTCAATTAATTCCATGTATTTGGTCCTAAGCCAATAGCTATTAAATGGTTTAAATTATAATAATTCCTCAAGTACTACATGGAATTATCAAAATCCTAATTAACAGGAATAACTTGAGTCCACCAGCCATGTCCAAGGGTCACAGTGATACAATGATGAAGTGCTATTAGATCATCACTGAAAAAACCTGCTTAAATAGCATAGCAGTATCTTACTCTCACAGAACCAATGGACCATGACCAGGGCAGAAGTAGTGGCAGTATTTCTCACTACACGATACAAACTTCATATTCTAGAATTAATATTTCAGGATGCTCGCTTCAGCTTTAATATCATATCACACAGCTGTAAGATCAGCTATACTCTGGTAAACGCAGACACAGTTTTTATGACTATGCAATGCACCATGGCTTTAAGACTCCCAGTACACAGTAAAAAAACTCTACACGTGCATACAGACAAGCCAGTTGAGTCAGCTTATCCCCATGACAAATGTATTTGGTGGACTAGTCTGAGATTAAATTTATCAGGGTCCAAAAGGATATTAAACCAAGCCTCCACAGTTCAAAATATAACGCTCACTCAAAACACAATCGATGGAATTTATTTTAGATAAAGCTCATTAGCTGGTTTCTCACACAATCTGCACATCTGTTATTTTGCTATCCCTTATGTCAGATTTTGTGTGCATTCCCGAGATATAAAATCTGCATTAACCAATATGCTATGGAAGATGGTTTTGAAAGGCCCTATCCCCCACAGGTATCTGCAGGTTAGATGTGATGACCCAGAAGTCCTCTCCCAGCTTATGTTCCTGCAGAGCCCTGGTATAAGAAGAAAATCTGAACAGAACAGCTTGCCAGAACTGAGAGCGTCAGCAAAGGCTCCTGCGTTTCCCAGCTGAGAAAACAGCATTTCAGCATTTCACCACAGGCTGTACAGCAAACACACAGGCTACTACCAGAGGAAATCAAATATTTGAACAAGCGGAGAGCGATGCACGTCAGTCATGCGTGAAGGGAAACCCGGTGAATAACAATTATACAATGCCACCGTGAACTTGCCCTTAAGAGACACAAAACAGTTTATTCTGAATGGAATAGAGTCAACAAACACAGAAATTTGGGGTTTCTTTTTTTTCCCCTGAAGGTAGAGGGAGCATAGACAATTTTCCAAGAATCATCAAAGAAAGATTAAAAATACTAAAAGAAGGAGCAGGCCTCTTTAGTTTACTTTTAAAAGACCAAAAATTAAACCAGATGCCCTTTGTTTTCGGTCACAGACTGATATTCCAACCATTCTGAGGCTGGGAAAATGAGAGATAAGAGGTTTAAATAATGCAAAATAAAGGAAGAGGAATTCACGGGGATGTCTGATGTTCACTGCAGTGTGAGAGTGGCTCATCACATCACACAGCTTGTCTACAAGGAGCTCTTCAAGTAACACTGAGATTGTTTGAGTGCACAAATCCTTCTGATTAGAAGCGGGGAAGGCTAGTTTATTATTGAAACTCTGACAGAGCTAAGAGCAGGAGCAGCAGCCAATGTTAGTTTTTAATGCATGGTGCATTCCTCTGACCACAGGTTACAGTTCTGGAAAAAGGGAACTATGAGGAAAAACAGATTCCATCTGATGAAGGGGGAAAAGCATCCTTGGATATCAACTTGACAATCTAAGAAGTCTGTTTTGAACTAGTTTTGAGAGGTATACTGACAAAAGCCCATATGGAAATAAAACTAGAAAAAAACTACAGGTAAAGCAATAAGACTGGAATTTGCAGTTTGGAGACCAGAAATGAGACCAGGCCATGGCAGACTGGGAACAGCAGGACACCAGACCAAACTTTGTGAGGTTGTGTGTCTGGAGGACACACGTGGATGACTGTGCAACCACAGCTCCCTCTTGCACATACACCAGCCCTATCTCATCTTACACTGTAGCCCATCTCTCCCTATGTAGGCAAACGCAGACAATGCCCTTCTGCAATAACACACTGTCTGCAGCCCACTTCTACCACCATTCAGATGAAGCCCATGAGCAGAAAAAATCTGCCTTTCAAGATTGCACACATTAGGGCTATGCAAACCAGCAGGCAGTAGGCTGAGCAAGTCCACACTGGTATTTTATCCATAGCGCTACCGGAACAGATATATCCCGGCTAGAAGACTCATTCTTTCTTTATCTACATTTAGCATTGATGGCATGGGGGTTTAGTGCAACTCATACTTCCGCCAAGCAGAAATTCTGGAGGAGGGAGACCAGCAAGCCCAGGGTTAACAGCATGTGTGCTATAATATCAACTTCAGAAGAGTCCAGCTGATCTGCAGACCAAATTCCAGAACCCAGTCACCTTGTCACCCTGCTGATTACCAAGGATGATTCAAAGAAGTGATCCCTGGAAACAGAATGTTGCTCTGCATCCCACAAACCTGTTGTAGCAGGATACTACAGCGTGCAAGGCCTCAGTGTCAAATGTTACTTGACGAGACATATGAGCCCACAATATTTGACACATCACCATGGTTGAGCCAAATCCGACAGAAGTGTGTCCTTGTGGTGATGAGACTCAAGTGTGCATTTCCTGTGACCTGGGTTACCTTTGCTAAGGAAATCAGCTGTCACAGTCCCCAGCAGAGCCCACACACACAGCCCAATCAGGAAACCAGCCCTCAAGTGTAAAGATGATAACGCACCAGTTTGATGGTATAGATGTATCTATCGATATTTGGTGGAACAAGTCCAGGCAGGATATAAACGTATTTAGGAAGAACATTCAAGGAAAAAACAAAACCACAAAAATATATACATTGGAAATATGAACTTCTGTGAAGTTTAGAATAATTTTTCCAACGTGTACCTGAAATGGAAAAGACCAGAGGCAGGATCATTGCCTGGATCCAGTCCTAGTTACATGCTCTTGAGAGAGACTTAGATTAAATTGTCTTGAGAAGTTATCATGAGCAAGGTAAGAGTTTGGGAATTAAATTAACTGAGTAGCTGCTGTAAAAGCAACAGTGAAACACTTAGGGACATGTTGCATGACAAAGCTTGCTTAAAAGGTAGAGAACAATATGAAACAAATATGAACAATGACTGACCTGACAGCCTCGCCTCTGTGCCTGGAAAGATCATGGAACAGACCCTCCTAGAAGCTATGCTAAGGCATGTGGAGAACAGGGAGGTGATCTGAGACAGCCAGCAGGGCTCCACAAAGGGCAAGTCCTGCCTGACCAACCTAGCGGCTTTCTATGATGAAGTGACTACATCAGAGGACAAGGGAAGAGCTACGGTTGTCATCCATCAGGATTTCTATAAGGCCTTTGACACAGCAATCCTCCACAACATCCTTCTCCCTAAATTGGAGAGATATGGATTTGATGTATGGACTGTTTGGTGGATGAGGAATTGGCTGGATGGTCACTTCCAGAGGGTAGTGGTCAATGGCGCATGTCCAGATGGAGATCAATAATAACTGCTGTCCGTCAGGAGTTCATATTGGGACCATTACTGTTTAATATCTTCATCAATGACACAGACAGTGGGATCAAGCAAGTTTGCAGATGACACCAAGCTGAGTGGTGTGGTTGACAGGCCTGAGGGACAGGATGCCATCCAGAGGAACCTGGACAAGCTTGAGAAGTGGGCCCCTGTGAACCTCATGAAATTCAAGATGGGCAAGTGCAAGGTCCTGCACCTGGGTCAGGGCAACTCCCAGTATCAATACAGGCTCAGGGATGAAGAGATTGACAGTAGCCCTGAGGAGAAAGACTTGGGGGTAATGGTGGATGACAAGCTGGACATGAGCTGGCAATGGGCGCTTGCAGCCCCGAAAGCCAACTGTGTCCTGGGCTGCATCAAAAGAAGCGTGGCCAACAGGTCAAGGGAGGTGATTCTACCCCTTTGCTCCTCTCTGTTGAGACCCCATCTTGAGTACTATGTTCAGCTCAGGGGCCCCCAACATAAGAAGGACATGGAGCTGCTGGAGTGAGTTCAGAGGAAGGCCATGAAGATGTTCGTTCAGAGGGCTGGAGCACCTCCCATACAAGGACAGGCTGAGAGAGTTGGAGTTGTTCAGCCTGGAGGAGAGAAGGCTCTGGGGAGACCTTAGAGCAGCCTTTCAGTACCTAAAGGGGATAAGCTTTTTAGCAGGGACTGTTGCGATAGGACAAGGGGTGATGGTTTTAAACTGAAAGAGGGCAGATTTAGATTAGATATAAGGAAGGCATTCTTTACAATGGGGGTGGTGAAACACTGGAACAGGTTGCCCAGAGAGGTAGTAGATGCCTCATGTGAGCAACCTCATTTAGTTGAAGATGTTCCTACTCATTACCAGGGGTGTTGGACTAGATGACCTTTAAAGGTCCCTTCCAACCCAAACCACTCTATTATTCTATGAATATCAGAAGGCTATCTGTTCATGAAGCTTCATCTTCAGTAATAGATGAAGATCTAATTCATTCAGACAACATGAAAAGGAGTAACTTCCTTCTAAGGTACTTAGACAGTATATCTTACACTGAGCTTTCATTCTACGATGATGGCAACCACGCAGGCTCAAAGTAATTTCTAAATCATTGACTGATGTGTTGCTTTTGGATGACCCCTGTGACTAAAGGAGGAGTTCAACAGACAAACTTGCAAAATATTTATACTAAGTATGAATATTTGTGCTCAGAGGAATGGATAAATTAGAAGATCCAGTTTAGACAACATGCAAATGTCCTAGAAATGTCATGCATTAAAAATATTTTAAAATTAAATATTTACCCAGATCCTTAATGAGTGATAATGCTTCCCATGATATAAATGCTCCACCACCATCATCCATAGCTCCCTGCCCAACGTCCCAGCTGTCCAGATGTCCACTGACCAATACAATCTGGAAAAGCAATTATGAGAAAATATATCTACATGAAAACACTGAATCAGAAGAGTTGGTTCAGCATTTAAGCATTTTAATGATCTTGTCATAAATCTGGCTTTTTAGTTTAGAACAGGAGGAAAGAAACATTTCAACTAAAACTTTGTTCTCTAGTCACTGAATATAAATCTGGGATGACCAAACGCAACCTAGTGCTTCAAACCACTGCCTAAATCAAACTAGATATGCTGGGAGAAACGTTTAAACGAAAGGATTTGTCTTGTAAATTAACGAAGTGCATACTTTCCAGAAATACAGGACTACTACATTGCAGAATGGTGAAAATTTCTTTCATATTCCAGATGTTTAAGCCCTTAGGCAGGAAATTTGACTAACCCTATTTTCGGGTGCATAAGGAAGACAGATAAACTCAGACTGAAGTATACCCAGAGAGAGGTTGCTGTTTTATTATATATCTACGGTACCTGTCACAGAGGACCTCTAATTTATTACTGGATCCCCTATGTGCTACAACAATGACAAGGAATTTTATAGTTCCATTATTCATAAGGATATTTTAAATTTAAAACTACACAGTAGCAAGTCCCAGACATGTTTGCTGCAAAGAGAATTTTGTGGCTACAGTACAGTAGTACACATATCTCCAGAAATACTCACTTGGAGACCTGAGCTCTTCAAATGCCAACAAGAAGCATCAGACCAGTACCAGAAGTGAGAGAGTTGCCTAAAAGGACCTGAAGTTGAAGGGCTGATGGGTCTATGATTGCAATGGAGAGGTCAAGGAGGGACAAGAACTCTGAACCGATCAGGCAGTGTGGTAAAATGATGCAATAGGACAAAAACAAGAGCAGGGAGCTGCTGCAGTGCCCCAGGAGTCTTTGAAGAACTGGTACCAGTAAAGAGTTGCCTTGGGATAGGGTGGCAGCCTAAGACAACTCAGCACTGAGTAAAAACTGAAGGAGAGCCTGAAGCATCTGTCTGTGTCCTGCCCAGAACTGGCCATCAACAAAGGGATGCTCCCAACTCCCTTGTGAGCTGGCGTCAATCAGCTCTCAGAGTTGTGGGCTCTAGAAGAAGGTGAAAACTACTCATTCCTCCTGTGGTCTTCTTCTCCCTAACGGCTGAGGATCTCCTGGCATATTATCTCAGCTTTCATACATCACGGGACAACTACTCCAGCAGTGATAACGAGAACATAAGGAATTCTTCCTGCTAGCACCCCTGAAGGGTGAGAGCCTGTGCCACCAAGTGTGCAGCTAACATTGCAAGAAACTAACTTGGGGCCCAAGTATTTTTCCCTTCGCATGAGAGAAATCTTAGTAAGTTTTCACTGATTATTAAAAACAATGCAGAAACAGATCACGGCAATGGAGTGCAGCAAATATGAACTCAGGTAGCACAGCTGGAAGGCCCCTTTGCATTAAACAAGGGCCACGAGGAATTACTACTCATATAGATTGTAATCCCATATGTCCAATCAGAATGTGCCAAAACCCTTTAAATTCAGAAATAAACACTATGAAATAGTTATAAATGTGTGTATTATAAGTGTCATGCTTTGGAAGCTGGAAAAGCTTGTGATCAAAATCTGAAGAGCAGTTTACTCTTTTCTTCTCAGATGTTTCAACCCTCTTTTCTGCTTACCCAGCCTTAACTAAACATGTGCTTGCTTTCCAGCACGGACTCATTTTCTTGGTGATAGACAGAGATGCTGCAGCCTTTATTCCAAAACCTCCCTTCCTTCAAAAGCACTTAAACCTGGACAGCAGGCCCCTCTGGGGAAGCCTCAGATTTACTCAGGAGGTGTGTCTGCAATTTAATGTCATGATGCTCCCAGGCCTGGCGTGAAAGACTGCAAACAGGGATGCTGCCCTGCAGTGGAAGTACTTCATCTGTCGCTGGCCTCTGCTACAATGGCAACACAGCTTGAAATCAGATAATCTAAGAAAAGCCATGACAGCTTTGGAGGTAGAAACCTTTCTGAAATGAGAGCAGAGAAGAAATGCTCACCGCACACCCCTTGCTCCGTTTGTTTTGCTATAAGGGTGGACCTAAGCACTCACACACTTGCACGTGGTGAGGGCAATGCATGAACAAACTCTCTTTTGAGAGCTTGGGATGCACATGCAACCACACTGCAACCTGCCCGTGAAGGACGGAGCTCAAACACCGCCACGCTTTGCAGCCGACTGATGCACACTCATTGTCCACTCAATAAGGAATTTGCAAATAATAATTTTTTAAAAAGAACAGAAAAGGCTCTGACTGAAAGCACAACTGTCTGCGGTATTCTTTTCCACAACTTCAAAATCACCATGTGGTTTGTTTGTTCTTAAAGCAAAAAATTGTTTTTAAGAAGATAACTATTCACTCTCCCGGGAAACAGAGCTTCAAGCTGAAGTGAATTATTTAGAACAATTTTGTAAACTCATTGAGTGAGAACCAAGTTTACAATAGAAGTGATGTCTTTAGCAGTGAAAGAATACCTCACTAAAGCTGTTCCCTGGCAGCAATCTCAACATGAGCGTCTGGGAGGGAATTACTCATTTCTGTGAAACAACAGATATTGCAACAGCAGGAAATTCTGAATCAGAATAAGGTGGTGTAATCCCATTTGGGGTTACAGACCCCAATCACAAAGCATCTTTATCAACTCCAGAACATTACACCAAAACAGATCAAGGTTCAAGTGGATTCAGAAAGTCAGATAATTTTATGGGTGAACTTTTACTTAAATTTACTTAAGCTGATGCCAAGAGCAATTACATAAATGCAACCAATCTACTTCCATGGGAAAGTTTTTTAACACTATCAAAAACAACTATCATGCTTTTGTAGCAGCTGCTAAAATGAAAGTTTCAGTGACCCTGCTGATAGCTAGCTGTAGACATTCTTAAAATAAGACACAGTCGTAAAATAATGAAACCACTACTTTTATCTTGATGTTTAAGTAGGTATTATGTGCCTGGGCAATGAATGGAAATATTTCTGAAATTCACTCTAAACCACTATATTATTTAAAATAATATTATAAAATAATACCACCTATTGCCTATAGATGCTCTCCTTCCCCAGATACGTGTTACTCACACAAACACTCTCACTTCACAATTTTCTATTTTCCTGAGTCCAAAACAAAATTTCTGACAGTAACTAAACCACAAGTGAAAAATTCTTAATCCCAGCTTCTCAGACACAGGAACCCAGCACCAAATTCAGGCCTGTGCTCCTAAGCATAGGGAGTACACTTAAAATAATCTACCCATTTGGATAGCATCACAACTATGAACTGCTAGATAGCTTCAGTTTATAAGGATCTAAAGATTTTTTTCATTTCACATGTTAACAGCATGAGAACAAGGCAGCATATCATGTACCCAACTAGTGGGCAAATAAAACAGCTGGCAGCCCATCATGCTTAATTTGCCTTCACAACTACGATTAAATAAAGTCTTCACATACAAAAACTTGCAAATCAAGAGTAGTAAATCTGGCACTGCAGTTTTGGGATGTATTAGCATCATCCGCGGTAGTGCTTGCAAATACGTTCTGGAAAATGGCAACACCAAGCAATATGCTTTCTGCTGCTTACCCACATAACAGTAGAAAGGTGAGATATATACATAGAATCATAGAATCATTAAGGTTGGAAAAAACCTCAAGGATCATCAAGTCCAACCATCAACCCACACCCCCTCACCCACTAACCCATGTCCCTAAGCACCACATCTACACGTTTCTTGAACCCCTCCAGGGATGGTGACTCCACCACTGCCCTGGGCAGCCTGTTCCAATGCCTGAGCACTCTTTCAGTGAAGAAATTTTTCCTAATATCCAGCCTAAACCTCCTCTGGTGCAACTTGAGGCCGTTTCCTCTTGTCCCATCACTTGTTACTTTAGAGAAGAGGCCAGCACCCACCTCACTACATTTTATATAGATTTGAATATAAACTCTCATGTACTTAAACATGTGTGGTTCAACTACCAGTAAAAAAATACTTTGGCCAGTTATGTTTAAACGCAGATCTACTCTGTTGTGTGCAATTCCATCAACTTCAACAGCTAAATTCATGCATAGAGCTATATCAGAGATATTCAGTTGTAAAAAATGCTTACGTGGTAAAAACTCTTCATTAAAGTCTATCCTGACCATTTCCCAAATATTTGTCTTGGGCTAGAAATATGTGAAAAAAAATTTGTGAGTTTCTGCACTTGCCTTTAAGAAAACACTAACTGTGCAGCTAAACTGCAATTGGATTAAATCACGCCCCAGATGTAAATCAGGAACATTACCACATTTAGTGGATTTTATTTTATATATATAAGAATATTTCTTTAATTAGTTTTAGCTTTGGTGTCCAAATAATATGGCTTCACTGTACAGCTCCTTTTATTAGATTTCACACACATTAGGAATGGTTCTGAAATAATCGGTCTAGCTGTCTCAACTAATTTACAGTCTTAAAGATACAGTGAAGTTCAGAAAGAAAATAATTCTTAAAACACAAAGGGTCTTTTCTCCTTAATACGGAGTGTAGTAAGCCTTAACTCCCAGGCTTCCGATTATATGATAGATCCACACATGAAACAGAAGTGACTCAGTCACACAAGAACCCAACTCTATTATTGCTAAAAAGCTGATTAACCTTCAAAGAGCCTCTGCACCACCATAGACAGTAAACTCTTCTAACGCTGAATCTCTACTTTGTAAAAGTGATTGCCAACAAAGTGTGCTCAGAAAGCATTGCAACCAAACCTCCCTGTCTGAAGTGAATCCCAAAACTACTGAGTAGCATGGACTGATACAATTTATGACATATAAGACAGTGAAGGAGAAAATTAGTCTGAAAATAAATTATTACTGATAAGGGGATTGTAGTAAAGGTAATGAGACATGGAAACTACATGAACATTCAAAAGATAACCAAGTATTGAAATGACTACCGCTTTCTTATTAAATGTTAGATTTTAAGACTTAGCGTTTCCATATTTAAGCT